AGGGAAATTTCAAAAAATGCCACTTTTCAAATGCCACTTTACAAAAATGCCACATTTTTGAAATCTTTACAAAAATGCCACTTTTTCAAAATTATTTTTTCTTTATATTATTTATGTTTGGGTTAATTATGTTCTATTAGGGTTTAGTTTTGAGTGTTTAGGGGGTTTTCGGTGTCAAAACATTTTTAGGGTTTAGAATTTTAAGATATAAGCTTTATAAATCTATAATTAGTGGCATTTTTGTAAATGAACATCCCTAAGTGGCATTCTTGCAAATGTGCACATAAAAAGTGGTATTTTTGTAATTGCCCCTTTATATAAATGATTGAATGTGAAAATATAACTTTTTAGAATTAAATATATCACTATTTTCTAAATCTTTTGTTAATAACTAAATATTAAAATTTTTTTAGTTTCCGAAAATTTATCCTTTTACTATTTTTAATTTAAACTATTTTTTCAAAATTCTACAAGAAATTTAGATTCTAGTTATATGAGTAATTAAATGTTTTCCGGTTAAAAGAGAGTATTAAACAATTTGGATTGAGTTTTTTTTTTAATCCCAAAACAATTCGGATTGATTATATTATGAAAATGCAATTAATGAAAACGGGTCAGGAACCGGGTCACACCGAGGATCCGCATCCTTCCACCGGATACAGTTCAAAAAATATTCAAAATTACTAAAATTGCCATTGCATCTGTAGAAAATTATCTTTTTCAATTGAATCAATTTAGTTATAAAACAATGACAATTTGAGTAATATTTGAATCAATTTTGGACATTCTCGTACTTCTGTTTTAATATTATATAGAGATTACTGAATTCTCAAATCCAATTTATTTCACTCTAATGGAAATACTCGATAATAAACCTGGATGGAAAAATACATCATTGGATAATAGATTCCAAACACTCATCTCTTATTTCATCTCTATATGATGACTATTGAAAGAAAGTACATAAGAATTTTTCCCCTTAAAGCTTGGTTTGGAGGTAATGAGGAGTGTCCCAATCAGTCTTGATGTGGTTTCTAGTGATCTCTCTCAGCGAACGACACCCACTTAGTGCCATTGTCAACTCGAACTCGTCTCTAAGCATTTGCAACATCTTCCTTACTCCCGCCTCTCCATCCGCTGAAAGCGAGAACAGGGTTGGCCTCCCGACCTAATCGAACAAGCGATTAAACTACATGTCGTGTGGACTATCATATGATCGGTAAGAGAACTAAAGCAATGTGATATAATAATGCATTTATTTTGACAAGTTCAAAAGTTTGGGGCACAATATAAAAAAAATGGTAAAAAAACAAGGAGAGTTTACGTTTGGGTTTATTTTGAAAACATCAATATGAAAAAGTGGTAAAATGCAGGGTTATTTCAGTGGCATTTGAACTTCAGGGATCGATTTGGAAACAAGGAGATAAAAACAGGGGAAATTACAAGAGCTAAGAGTGTGTGATGAATGGAACTTACAAAGACACCTGAAGCTCCAAGAGCCAATGCCTTAAAGACATCGGTTCCACGGCGAACTCCACCATCGAGAAAAACCGGAATCTGACCCTCCACGGCTTTAACCACCTGCGATTTGAATTCAATCGGTCGAATCAAATTCATTTTACCATAAGATAAGAATTAAAAAAATGATAAGTTCATCTATTTAGAGGTTAACCTCTTCAAGAGCCATTATAGTTGCAGGAACATAATCAAGTTGACGAGCTCCGTGGTTAGAGACTATAATCCCTGCAGCTCCATATTCAACCGCGATTCTTGCTGCAAAATGTCGAATGGTCAAAGAAAATCTTCTTAACTTTTCCAAGTTTTAAAGTAAAAGGTTGGTTGCAGATTATTACCATCCTCAGCTGTAATAACACCCTTGACAAGAATTGGCAAGCTTGTGATAGATTGAAGCCATTTTATATCCTGGAAGAAGAAAACAAATTACGTTTCTGAATCTCGGCGGGTAGAACAAAATCTTGTTACAGATTCTGACCTTCCAGTTAAGTGATTGATCAATTTGATTCGCAACATATGAAGCTAGCCCCGAGTCATCGGTCTGCAATAGTCGACATAAACAAAAATATTTCAGTATTCAGCTTTAAGAACCCATCATCCATTTTGTTTATCATTATCCTACTGACCTTGTCGATTTTCCCAAGATCTAACCCTTCGAAGTTCTTCAACGTCAGACCTCGAGGAAGAGCGAATCTGCAGGGTAATAATAAGTAATAACCATCAAGACAACTGAAAGATCTAAAGCGTGTGATGGTGGGGAAGTTCCATCACCTGTTTTTGATGTCGGATTCTCTGCGACCAAGCCTCGGGGTATCGACAGTAAGAGCGATGGCTTTGAATCCAGCTGCTTCAGCTCGTTTCACAAGCTGTCTAACCACATTTCTGTCCTTAAGAACCTGAATCAAAAGAGAATTAATACCCGATTCAAGGAAAAAAACCGAAAGAACATTTAAATCTTCTTGAACTTTACATAGAGTTGGAAAAATCGAATCCCCGGTCCGGTTGAATCAACTTCCTCAACACTACAAGTAGCCCATGAAGACAAAGTCTGAAAATACCAAAGAATACTTCAACATATCGAATATCCATCATATAAAGAGAGTGACAGAGAGAATCAAAAACCATGATTGTTCCCGCAGCAGAAGTAGCTCTCGCGGTTGCAAGCTCGCCTACAACGATAATACAAACCATTTCACATAGTGAACAAATGAGAATGTCCATAGATATATATCTTAAATCTACTAAAGCTAATATCTTCTTGTTAACACTATCATTACTCTAAGCTAAAATCTTATACTTGACAAGAAATCTCAAAGCCGCTTTTTCGGTTATTACAAACGAAATCTAAAGACATTTTACCATCAGGGTGAGCCATTTTCTGCATTGCAGTAGGAGCAACCATGATTGGCATAGAAATTTCAAACCCTAAAACCCTTGTGCTCACATCGATCTCGGTTACATCGATAAGAATCCGAGGCCTAAATCTGTTACAAACACATAAACAAAAACAAGATCAAATTTAAAGATTGGATTTTTCATCCTTGTCATTGTTGTTGTTTTTTCACTTACAGAATCCTTGAAAAAGCGTTTCGATTCTCTTGAAGAGTCCATTGATCTTCAGCACCAGATGCATAATAATCATAAACCATCTTTGGTAATTTCTCTTTTGCGATCTTCTCATATTCCATCACATTAGTTATCTCCATTATTAATTTTTTCCCCTGTCTATAATTAAATATGATCAAAAAAATACAAATCTTTCAACTTTTCAATAATCAAACTCACTAACCACCCCATAATTCAAGAATTAAGAACAATAACGAGACTTGAAACCAACAGTAACAGTGAGCGATCATATAGTATCAAAATCTGACTCAAGATTCTTAAAATCTTCTTCACTACCTGAATTTGATTTTCGATTATAATCCAAACAAATCAAATGAAATAAAATCATAAAC